GTATAGGGTTTAGGGTTTAGGGTTTAGGGTTTAGGGTTTAGGGTTTAGGGTATAGGGTTTAGGGTTTAGGGTTTAGGGCTAGAACCTGAGCCCAAACATGCGGGACATGTGCAAAATTCTGGGCTTTCAAGTTACCAAAACATGCCCTGGGAGTTCCAAGCAGGCCCTCCCCCAAAAAAAACAACAAAAAACCAACAACAAACGGGTTTAGGGTTTAGGGTTTAGGGTTTAGGGTTTAGGGTTTAGGGTTTAGGGTTTAGGGTTTAGGGTTTAGGGTTTAGGGTTTAGGGGTTGCTGTCGTGCAGTGGGCTTCGAGCTGCTTTCGGCTCACTCCAGGATCTCCAGCGAGACTAGGCAAGAGGACCCCTTGCAAAAGGGGCTGGCTGAGGGGTACCCGAAAGAGGCCAATCACGGGTTTAGGGTTTAGGGTTTAGGGTTTAGGGTTTAGGGTTTAGGGTTTAGGGTTTAGGGTTTAGGGTTTTGGGTTTAGGGTTTAGGGTTTAGGGTTTAGGGGTCTGGTCCCTTGGTATGGGCCCTTTGAAGGGTACCCCTTTATGTACCCCTTACATACCCCATACAAATCAAGGGGCCCATACATCAGAACCCTGTAAAGGAGGTCAAGGGCCATTTCGGGGGCCCATGAAACTACCCTCAGAGATATGGGTAGTTCTCCACATGAGGGTCCCCTTTTTTGGGGGGGGTCCTTCGTTATAAGGTGCCGTACTAGGATTAGGGGTTTAGGGTTTAGGGTTTAGGGTTTAGGGTTTAGGGTTTAGGGTTTAGGGTTTGGGGCTTGAGGTTTAGGGGCCTGTGGGTGCGGGGGTTTAAGTGTAGCTTCTAGGGCTTCAGGGTAGCGAAAGCAGACATCAACACATCCCTACAAGAAAGCCGAAAGCCTCTGGAATTTAGGGTTTAGGCCTCCGAGGGTTCAGGCTTTAAACCCTAAACCCTAAACCCTAAACCCTAAACCCTCAGGCTTTTAGGTGCCCAGGAGCCTGGAAGTCCTTCTCCTCCAACCCGAGGAGTGCTTTTCTCGCCTCCTGCGCGTCAGGTCTTGGGGAGTTTAGGGGTTTGGGGTTTACAGGGTGGGGCCCCCTTACTATACTAACTGTAGTTAAGGGACTTATAACCTAATTTAGGGTCCTTATAACCCAATTTAGGGCCCTTATAACTCTACTTATAACTAGGGGGCCCCACCCTGTAGGGGTTCAGGGTTTAGGGGTTTTGGGGTTCAGAGGGGTTTTGGTTTAGGGTATAGGGTTTAGGGTTAAGCGTTGGGGCTTTGGGGTTTAGGGGGCGGAGGGTGGGGGCTGTTGGATCACCTGATGCTCGGATGATTTGACACACCATGCATGACGAAATCCTTTGGCTCCAGGACACATGGCTCCCGGTTGACCCGAATGACGCGGAGGACGTGAGATGGAGCGAGGAGCGGAGAGTTGCAAGCCGGGGTTGATTCAGGGTTTAGGGTTTAGGGTTTAGGTTTTAGGGTTTAGGATCTGGCCCGTCCCGACTTCGGCTTGTGTGGGAGAAGTACCTGGAAGTCAGAAGTCATTTGTAGCCACTTTTGGCTCCTCCCCACTCTTAAACAGTATCTCCCTCAATAGCCCGCCTAGGGTTAGGGTTTAGGGTTTAGGGTTTAGGGTTTAGGGTTTAGGGTTTGGGGTTTAGGGTTTAGGGTTTGGGGTTTGGGGTTTGGGGTTTAGGGTTTAGGGGTTGAACCAATGCTTGGCTCCACGAGGCTGCTTCTCCTCTGGGGACGGGTCTCCACAACAGTATATTCCTGACTAGGATGGCCCCTAAACCCTAAACCCTAAACCCTACACCCTAAGCCCTAAACTCCAAACCCTAAACCCTGAACCCTTTGAACAATATTCCTAAATGGGATCCTCTTAAACCCAATACGCAAATATCCCAAGTGCCCACCTAGCTAATGGTTCGAGGCAAAGCCCATAACTTAGATCTCCCCCCCGCCCAAGGAAAAGACCCAAGAATCCACCTAGGCCCTGAGAGTTCTGGTGGGCTTAGGGTTTAGGTTTAGGATTTAGGGTTTAGGGTTTCGGGTTTAGGGTCAAACAAAGACGGGGCCTTTAGCAACGGAGGCACGTCGGCAAGGAACGTCTGCAAAGCCTCGCAGGCTTTGTACTTTAGCTGCTGTAGGCATCATGACTTCAACGTCTTCAAGTTTCGGAGGTTGGACAGGTCGGAGGAAGGGATCGCAGTTCGAATGTGAAGTAAGCCCCTGACAAAATATGAAACGACATCGGTTTGGTTGGCGCACTACTACACTTAGAGCCCCACGAAGTGGCAAGCAGGAAAAGTGGCAAGCACGAAGGCGGCGAAGCGGAGACAGTGGTTAGTTGCATGCCCCCCAAAACCCAAAACCCAAAACCCAAAACCCTAAACCTTAAAATCACTCCCCCCCACCCAAGCCAGCCTCCTGCCACGGAACTCCGCCATTCAGATCCTGTCGTGTGGTGCTCACGGGGTTGGGCTGACTGGGGTGAAATAGATTAGCCCCTTCAGGTTGAGGTGTACAGGGTCCAGGGGCAGCTCTAGAAGACTGTTGGCGCGTATCATTTATATATACAGGGTGGTGGGGTTTTAGGGCTTTAGGGTTTTAGGGTTTTAGGGTTTTAGGGTTTTAGGGTTTTAGGGTTTTAGGGTTTTAGGGTTTTAGTATTCTTTCTTGGGTGTTAGCTTGGAGTCAGAAAACCGAAGGACTGTTTAGGAAAACCAGCAATCCTGACCCAAGCCCTGCAACAACACCCAAAACAACATTGCTCCCTCCTCTCGGCCTGAATATTCCGGGCCTTAACTCCGCTACCCCAAACCTTAACTGCTAGGGTTTAGGGTTTAGGGTTTAGGGTTTAGGGTGTAGGGTTTAGGGTTTAGGGTTTAGGGTTTAGGGTTGAGGGTTTAGGGTTTAGGGTTTAAGGTTTAGGGTTTAGGGTTCCAAACAATCCTAAGCCTCAACCCCTGAACCCTAAACCCCAGACACTAGCCAATAGACCCCCTAAAGCCGCAAGACTGCAAACCTCAAGAAGTGTAGAGGCAGCAAAACCCTACAACCCCTAGACTCAAACAACACACCGTAAACCCTAAACCCTAAACCCTAAACCCCGTTCACTACGCTCTACATCCTCCACCCTTAAGACCCGAAACTTGGGATGTTCCCCCTTTTTCTAGCAGTCCTTAATAGGGATTAGAGTACCCCCTATTGTGATGACCATTGGGGGCTGTTAGTACAAGGGGGAACATCACAACCCTAAACCCTGAGCCCTAAACCCTAAACCCTTTAAAGCCGGAAACGCCGAATGCTGGAACGCTTGACTGCCTTATCTGAGTAGAGGAGGATCCCGCTGTTGGGCGTCAACCTCACGAGAAAACAAAGTCGAGCTGCCGGTGTGGCGAGTTTAGGGTTTAGGGTTTAGGGTTTAGGACATGGGGTTTCGGACATGAGTTCAAGGGTTTAGGGGTCTAGTGCAATAAAGGGTTTAGGGTTCACAGCACAAGCAGCAACCCCTGAACCCCTAAACCTCACAACCCGAAATCCCTAACCCTACACTAGCCTACAGAAAGTCAGAACATTATTATCCTCATACCCTTAAGGTAAAGTATGGGAAAACCCAGCACTAATCGTCAAAAAACGGTTTAGGGTTTAAAAGCCGAGTGCCCGGGCACGGTGGCCAGTGGGCACGCCGTTGGCAAGCCAAAGGCCCTCGACAGAGGACAGATGTGACTGAGTCTGGTCTAGGGTTTAGGGTTTAGGGTTTAGGGTTTAGGGTTTAGGGTTTAGGGTTTAGGGTTTAGGGTTTAGGGTTTAGGGTTTAGGGTTTAGGGTTTAGGGTTTAGGGTTTAGGGTTTAAGGTTTAGGGTTTAGGGTTTAGGGTTAGGGTTTAGGAGTTTAGGGTTTAGGGTTTAGGAGTTTGGGGTTTAGGGGCCATAGTAGGGTACAGGGTTCAGGCTTCAAGCCCTAAACCCTTAGGGTTGCGGGCTTAGGTGAAACATGTTCTCCGGTCTCATATGGGTATTTCCCAAAATAGGTACCCCTTTTATACCCCCAAATAGTATAGAAGCCCCTTACAGGACCCCCCAAAAGGGTACAGTACCCCCTATTTTCGGAAACGCCCATACTTTAGGATGTTCAAGGTCTGACTTCGGAGTTTTGTAAGGCTGGCCCTGAACTTTGAATCCTGAAGCCGAAGCCAACTTGGAGCCCTAAATGTCCCTAGTTGCCCTAAACCCTAAACCCTAAACCCTAAACCCTAAACCCTAAACCCTAAACCCTAAACCCCTCCAAAAGCCGAGTGCGGTGCCCTAACTCCGGGGCGCCCAGGAGCAGCTCGGCGGGGAGCGCCAACTGTGGCCGGCCTGGGTTTAGGGTTTAGGGTTTAGGGTTTAGGGTTTAGGGTTTAGGGTTTAGGGTTTAGGGTTTAGGGTTTAGGGTTTAGGGATTAGGGTTTAGGGTTTGGGGTTCGGTTTAGGGTTACTAAGAGTTCAGGTCCGTGGAAAGTTTCCAGGAGTTCTGAGGAAGGTTTTGAGGTTTAAATTTTCCGGAAAATGTCGAGTTACAGGCGCTTGCGGGTTTGGGGTGTACGGCTCAGGGGTTTACTGGAGGTGTATGGGGGGGTTTAGGGAGGGCTTAGGGGCTCAGATCATTTTCAGGTGCAGCGTGTCCAGGGCTTCGGGTTGGGATTTAGGGTTTGGGGGAGGGGCGTGATTCAAGGTTGAGGGTTTACTTGGGCCTAGGACTTACCCCATCATGAGCCCTCGTGTAAACCCCAAGTGGAGGGGGTGAGAAGGGGGAGCCCCCAAGCAATCACCCGCTCAAACAAACAAGCAGACCAACACAGTCCCTGAACTCTGAGCTCCTTGCGCTCCATCAAGGTACTGCTCACCGCTACCGGCCCCTTCATCCATAGATGCCTCGGGCGACGGATGTGTTTTTCTTTGCAGGAGGGGGTTGAAGTTTTCCACGGCTATGGCTTTAGCCCGTCATGAAATGTCCAGGAAGTGTCTAGTTTTGGATGCTCATTTGGCCTGGAATACCTGCGCACCACAGGCCCGCGCTTCGATTCTGATCCCAAAACCCTAAGCCCCAAATCCCAAACCCAAACCCTATTTCCAACCTGAGTCCGAAAGCAGGGCCTTCAGTCCCTGGATAGATCCTACCCCCCTACCCCCTTCCCCCCCCGGCCCCCCCCCCAAAAATTGGGTTCGGTTATGACTGTACCTAAGCTTGCCAGTCCCTGACTCAGCCTTGAGGCGCTCCATAAGGGGTGTTATAGGGAGGGTTTAGGGTGGGGTTGTAGGGGTGTAGAGGGCTCTGGACTTTTCAGGTATGTTTAGGGTTTCAGGTATAGAAAGGAGAAACCGGTGGGTGCAATACAGGACACCCACTGTGAGAGGAGACGTCTCGGCTTCCCGCGTTTGCTGGATGGGCGACTTTACCTGGGCGTTTTGGGTGCATAAGATCTTGGCGGCCATGATGGTAGCTTAAGCGGTAGAGGTAGAGGAGATTATCCGTTCTTTTCTTGCCAGGAACCGGCCTGGGGGTTGTAGTGTTGAGGTTCGGGGCGCAAGGGAACTAAACGGGGCTGTTCGGTATGAGGGGTTTTAGAGGGGGGGGGGGGGGTTGGCCTGTTGGGCGCTTAGCTGCTGTTTTTGCGTCTACACTAAGCCGAAGAGGCTCTGCATCACAGAGGAAATGTCAGCCCTAAATCCAACCCTCAAGGCCCCGACACCTCCAAACCTACAAGATGTACGTCCTTCCGAGCCAAAAACTCCACAGACCTTTCAGCCAGTGCTCCCCCTAGCCCCCCCCCCCCCCACGAAGCATAACCCCAGGACCCTGAACCCCGAATCCCAGTTGAGGATGCACGGCTTAGAAAAGTGGGCTCGGGGTTTTGAAAGGCTTGGGCGTCGTAAGGTTCCGAGCGTACCGGTACTCCCCATTGGTACGACCCTAAGCCCTTAACCGTCAACCCCAAACCCTAAACCCCAAACCACAAACCCTCAACCCGAAACCCCTAAACCACAAACCCTCAACCCTAAACCCTCAACCCTAAGCCCCTAAACCCGAAAACCCCTGCACACTGGAATTGGGCCTCGCAGGGAATGCGCGGGCGGCTGGCCTGTGGAGGCTGACGTTGTGAGTCGAAGTTAATGAGACGAGTGTGTAGGGTTCAGGCAGGCTTCAGGGTTCAGGGTTCAGGGTTTAGGGTTTAGAGCTCATGGGTATTTTGGGTTCGGATCTTTGTTACATCCCAACCCATATCCTAAGCCCTTACTAAAACCCCAAACCCGCAAATTATAAAAGCCGAAGCCCTGGAGCCTGAAGATCGCAGCCCCCTTTCCAGAAAGCTGAACCCCAAACCCGTTTTTTCGGATTTCAACCCTAAACCCGAAGCCCTAAACCCTTTAGGGTTTAGGGCCGGCATTTAGGGTCTAGGGGCTTAGGGCTTAAGTTCTGAGAAGCCTTCGCAGTCTCAGCGTCGATGTTCTGTGGAGGAAGCCTCAGCACAGGGGCTTGTTCTGAAATGTTCCCTAAACCCTAAACCCTAAACCCCAAACCCCAAACCCCAAACCCCAAACCCCAAACCCCAAACCCCAAACCCCAAACCCCAAACCCCAAACCCGAAGTAGAACGCCCAAAACAAGCTCCAGAATGGACCCATATGAAAACAGAGCAGTTGGGGCCAGCGACAGTACAGCTGCAGTGGCTTCCGGCCAAAGTCATAGCCCTAAACCCTAAACCCTAAACCCTGAACCCTGAACCCTAAACCCTAAACCCTAAACCCTAAACCCTAAACCCTAAACCCTAAACCCTAAACCCTAAACCCTAAACCCTAAACCCTAAACCCTAAACCCTAAATGTGAAGCACTGAGTGAAACATGTGGGTGAAACAGCCCTTGTAAAGAGAAGGGCATCGATGTCACAGGGGTGGAAGAGGCGCCTACAAGTGATCGCGCGGTGCCGCGGCGAAGGCTCGAGGATTCTGTTGCTTTTCGATGAAAAGGCGCGTGTGGAAACCGGCCTTCATCCTTCTTGTCTTACATTGGTAGCGGAGCGTGGTCTGTGTTTGCTCCAGGTAGTTAGTCTGTGCCACCAGCTGTAGCTCTGATGGAAGCACCAGCGGACGCCGAAGCACCGCCTGGCTTCGAACAACGCATGGAAGGCCCCGACGCCCCGCCGGTGCCGACCTTCTTTCGTTCTGGAGACCGAGATCGTGAAGCGCGTTCCACAGAGAGTATGTCTGATGGCAGCAATCAGACCTCCCGCGGCAGCGGAGCCACTCAGCGCGAGTGGAGAGACGAGTCTTGGTGGGGATGGGGAGACCAATGGCGCACCGTGTCCTGGGGATATGGAAATGGTGGGCATGAATGGTCTCGAGGTGAACTTCGCAGTCAAGACAGGCGCAGGAGCTGGGAAGCTGAAAGCACGGGCACCCCGGCTACCAGTGGAGAACAGACAGAAGCAGGGCAACATAGAGAAGACCCTTGGGCCGGTGGCCGAGACCCATGGAGTGCAGACCGCCGAGACGATTACGGACCGCACCCCGGGCGCGACCAGGGAGTATTTCCAGGCGGACCCAAGGCAGATGGTCGAGCTGACAGGGCACGGCAGCACGATTCTCGCGATGTTCAGGGTCGTCCCGAGGCGGATGGTCGAGCTGAACATGTCCCAGGTACCGATCCACGATACCAACCACGGCATCCGGAGGCAGATGGTCGAGATGCACCAGGCCGGCGGCATGATGCAGGACTTGCTCCAGGAGAGGGAAGGCTTCACGTCGATCCATTTGACAGAGCGCAAGCCACTTTCTCAACGGAACGAGGGCGTTGGCAACCTCCAGGTGAACTTCGCGGAGAAGGAGATGGTTGGAATGGCTGGAAGCACTTCGGCAACGGTGGAGGCTTCCAGATGGACGTGGCCCCGCAATCCCATGGGGGAATCCCTGCCACGACCGGGAGGCCAACCGAGAGACTTTCGGTGCCAACGTTCAGCGGAGAGGATTCGGAGGACCTGGGAACATCGGCGAGATCATACCTCAGACAAGTGGAGGCGTGGCGTCGCATGACGCAACAACCAGTCTCCCAACAGGGACTGGTTCTTTACCAACACCTGTCAGGACGCGCCTGGATTGCGGCGGAGGAACTGAGTGTGGCGAGGCTTGGGACCTCCGATGGCGTCGCCTACTTCATCGCATGGATCACCACGAGATTTCTGGACTTGGAGATCACCCGCATCGGAAGGGCCTTCAGCGACTTCTTCAGGCGTTTGAGGAGGAGGCCGGGGCAATCGGTGCGGGAGTACAACACGGAGTACGACAGGTTGCACGCCAGGCTTCGGGAGGTGGGATGCAACTTGCCAGAGGACTGCGCCGCTTGGTTGTACATCGACAGGTTGCAGTTAGAGGAGGCCCAGGAGCTCAACCTCCTCGCGAGCGTCGGCAACCAGTACAACTTGGCGAAGCTCCAGCAGGCGGCGGTCTTACACGACCGAAGCCACCGCAAACCTTGGGAGGCACACAGCAGGAAGCGCACCAACACGGCCCACATGACCGACTTCGACTCTGGCGAGTACATGATGGACGACGAGATCAACGACGACGCGGACAAGGAAATGCCCGAAGAGGTTGCGCAGGCATGGGTTACCTATCAGTCGGCAAAGGACAAGTACAAGGCGCAACAAAGGGCACGCGGCTTCGCTGGAGACAAAGACAAGTCCGAGAAGGGCAACGAAGATCGGGAGGCCAAGATCCGGGCAGTCAAACAACGGAGCTTTTGCGCCGGCTGTGGTCGTCGAGGCCACTGGCACAAAGACAGCGAGTGTCCATTGAACCGCGGGGGTGGACAAGCCAAAGGCGAAGGAAACACCGGGAAGGGCGACTACAAGGACGTGGCGATGACGACGGTGCTCCCGGCCGAGATCTACGCCTTGCGGCACGAGGACCAGCTCTATGGCGTCGCGGACACGGCGTGCGCTCGGACTGTGGCAGGAACCCAATGGCTGCAGTGCTATGCTGACAAAATGCAGGAGATGTGCGGAAGAAAACCTCAACTGCACAAGGAGTGTGAGGCCTACCGCTTTGGCACCGGGAAGATCCACTACTCGTCTTTCTTCGTGGTCGTTGAGTTCGAGCTTGGGAATAAGGTCGTGCAGCTGAGGACGTCGATCATTGCCGGGGACATCCCACTTTTACTCTCGAGGACAGTGCTTGGCAAGCTCGGGATGATCTTCGACGTCGGGGCGGGCACGGCTACGTTCAACGCACTCGGGCTCACCAACTTCTCCATGCTGACGACGCCGTCAGGGCATCCTGCCATTCCCATTGTACCTGCGTCAGTGGAGGGTGGAACGCCCGCCCTGGCCGTTGAAGACATTCGACTGCAATCCAAAGGAGCATACATGGAGGTTTGCGCAGTAGCTTGTCCGAGGAGTTTCGAGGCACCACAGTTGTCCGGTGTGTATTTTCCCAAGAAGCTTGATCCTGGGGTCAACGACATGCTTGGCCAAGATCGTCTTCATCAGGATGCTTTCTTGTCATGGTGGAATAGTACCCCGATTGAACGAGACTTTTGGTTAGAAACTCCTACAGCGTGGATCAGAGTGCACATCGTACCCCGAAGAGTCATGTTTAGTCCCTCGTCCTGGCGAACCTCAACTACGGTACAGAGAGACATGCTCGTTGCAAGCCTTGGCACTATGCGCATGACGGAGAGCGTGTGTTGCAGTTCAGGAAGATGGGTTGAGGCCACCGTAGACCACTGGGATCACACTCAACATCTTCAACCGACCTTCCCGCTGCTTTGGGTCGGAAGGACAGTGCTCTACAAGAGACAATTTCGTAGCGGCGCGAGCCCTCCTTCCAGCCTCGCCTCTCCAGGTGATGAGCAATCAGCCATGCGCCAGGCGGACGCCTCTAAGCCGTATGACAAGGACCGAGCTGCTGGAGGAGACGATGCGTTGCGGGCTCACTGTACACCGGAACTGGGCCTCGGAGGAGCTTCGGGCGATCATCAGGGAGTACAGGGAGACACATGCCGCAGCGGACCCATCCGAACAGATGAAGAAGATCACCAAGATGACGCTCGACGAGTTGAAAATGAAGGCGGACGAGCTCCAGGTCCCAGTACCTCCCAAGGCGACGAAGGGCCTCATCATGCGCCTGATCAGGGACAACCTCAACACTCCGGCGAACGAGCTCATCAGTTTCGGGAGGTGGAGGGGGTACGAATACCGCGAAGTCCCGGACGACTACGGTCGTTGGGCAGCCTCCGAGGTGAAGCAGTCGCCCAATGCACACCCGGACCTGGTCCGTTACGCTCGCTGGTGGGAGGGGCAGCAGGAGGCAGCCGAGGTCGGGGACATGATGGCAGCGATCGACCGGAAGTCAATCACATCGAGCCCGCCATACCCAAGCAGTCACCGCACATGGCCCAAGATGGAGACGACGCCAGCCCTGTCCACGTCATCGAGGAGCAATGCTTCCTGGGAAAGTGTCCAAGCGCCAGCGACGCCTCCCAGGACACGAGCCAAGATGCAGCCATCGTCGTCGACATCGGGAAGAAACGAGACGAGGACCTCCCCTTCCACCACTACCAAGCGCAAGGAGACCAACATCGACAAGGAGACGCAGGGCATGGATGCCGAGACGGATCCCCGAGTCCTGGAGGAGATCACGGAGTTGGAGACGAAGCTCGCCCTCCTCAAAGACAAAGCGCGGAACACCCAGTGACCATCGGAACGACACCGGCGTGCTGCGGATGGGTGAAGGAAGGCGAGTACATCACGGAAGAGGAGTACGTGCGTGCCTACCGGAACCAACAGGAGTGCTACATCACCGACGGGCCACAGGACGCACGTCAGAAAGAAGTTAAAGGGGAGGAGGAGAGCGACGAAAGCGAGGAAACCATTGAGCCCGACTCCATCCGCGAAGCATTCATGGCGGCCATCGACTGGAAGGACTTCTCCTTTTCCACGTGTCTTGGGCTGTTGGACGGCGCAGGACTCCCCGAGGAAGCCTTCCGACCTCGCGCTATGCTTCAAAATGACGGTGAACTTTGTGGGCAAGCCTACGCCACCTTCGGCATGTTCACCCACGGCGGGATCCACGGGGTCACGGCGGCCACCCGCAAGTATGCTGACTTGGTGAGGTATCTCAACGACTTCGGCGCTCATCACCTTGGACGCGAAGCCACTTGGACCGCCATATCAGTCTCCCGAAATGTCGCGGCCGGTGTCCACAGAGACAGCAACAATGAAAGGGGGTCGCGGAACTATTGCATTTCCCTGGGGCAGCAAGCCGGGGGCGGAATATGGGTGGAAGAAGATCGTCTCAGTGAACAACAGGTCGCCAATTCCCACGTCGTCTGGAAGAAGGACAAGGTCGGAGCGTGGGTCCCTGGGAAGGTGAGGAAGTCGAAAGAGGAGTTCGTGATCTTTGACCCGTTCCTTCGCCACGCCACTGAGAGCTGGGATGGAGACAGATGGGGCCTATTCTTCCACACACCAAGGGGAGGAGAGAAGGTCGCTCCGGAATTGAAGAAGCTTCTCCGCAATTGCAGGTTCCCGATTCCCAAGAAAGGGGCAGGGGGCACCCGGATGAGGACTATGCCAACCAAGACGGAGCGCAACAAGATGTTCAACGCAGCCGGGAAGGTGAGCGTGCTGATGACTATGTTGATGACGGCTTCAATGTCTTTGGCCGCAGAGGCCGTTGGGAGCCCCGTTGAACACGATCCTATCGTTATGATGGAGATCGGTGGGGTCGAGGGGACGATCGAGGCAACGGATCTCGGGAAGGCGGTCATCGAACCTATGATGTGGGAGGACATGCTCAACCCCGACCAACAGGAGACGGCATCACACTTCGTCGCCGGTGTTTCGCCTCGCGAACTTCGAATACACGTCGACGGCATGCCAGAGAGGTTGGTGGAGAATGTCGGCGAGCTCATCCGGGCCCAGATAGATGGAGGAGGAGACGTCGTGCTTCGCGGAGGATGTCCTCGTGAGTGGACTGAGAAGTTCAAGATGTATGAGCGCTACCGGGATGATGAGAACGGCGACCTTTGGATCGTCCTCAGCAAGCCAAAGGAAAAGGGGAAAGTGATGTATGGTGGGGGACGTCCACATGAAGTGTGTGCCGTCGAAGCCGGAGAACGAGGACCAGAGGCACCACGAATGGATGGGAGCGGAATCACTTTTGATGAGGGCGTGCCTGGACACGTTCAAGCTTCGCTACGCCGCATGCATCAAAACCTTGGACATCCCCGAGTACAAGACATGGTGAGACATTTGCGACTTGCCGGGTGCGAAGGTCACATCTTGAAAGCCGCCAAGGGCATGAAATGCAGTACTTGTGACGCCACCAGATCGCCACAGGTCGCACGTGGCACCACTCTTCCCCGACTACTAGATTTCAACTCTTGTGTTGGAGTGGACATCTTCTACGTGCATGACACGGACGACGTCAAGCATGCCATGCTGTCCATGGTAGATTGGGCCACAACGTACCATGTGGTGGCAAGGCTTGGGAGAGAAACCGGCGAGGACGTGGAGAAGGCATTCAACACGCATTGGTTGAGCACCTTCGGACCACCTTCGACGGTCTCGCTGGACCTGGACGGAAAAGTGCAGGCAGGACTTGGACGGCTATGTGACTGGCACTCCATCAAGATCAAGGACGTGGCGGCGCAAGGGCATTGGCAAGCCGGGGTTACAGAGAGACAAGGGGGGTGGTTCAAAGGAATATGGGACCGGGTCGTCCATGAGATGAGCATCAGTGGAGAGGAGGTGGAGTTAGCCGTGAATTTGGTCACGGCAGCAAAAAACGATCTCCGCAGACGATGTGGGCACAGCCCAACCCAGTGGGTGTTCGGAAGATCACCTCGTTTGCCGGCCGGCCTCAACGACATTGACGGGGGAGAGGACATCACTTGGGACCTGACGCAGGACTCGAAGCATCAGAGGGTGACTGCAATTCGCGCAAGCGCGCGCATCGCATATCATCGTGCCCAAGGAGACGATCGCTTGAGGAAATCATTGATGCAAAGGGCCAGGACTACGAGGGCGGTGTACGACATCAGCGACCCCGTGCATTACTGGCATCAACCAAAAGATCGCAGGAGGGCACGTTGGGTTGGGCCCGCCGTTGTGGTTGGCAAACAAGGACAGAGCTACTGGGTGTCGAGGAACGGACGGTGCCGCTTGACAGCACCAGAACATTTGAGGACGTCCGGGCCGGAGGAGCTCGGGGAGTACCTTGCCATGAAAGGGGTGAGGCACGAAGTTGAGAAGCTGTTGGGGGAAGACATCGACGACCCCGACGTGTACGACGACTACGACATGATGAGCCACCATGGGGATGAAGGGTTGGAAGAGAACGTGTCGGACTACGTGCCCTCGTTGCCTGGTGAGGGCGACCCAATCGAGTTTGGATCACATGGAGAAGATCAAGCCATGGAAGAAGAAGAAGATGCTCCGGAGGTGAGACCTATGCGAAGACTGAAGAGGAAGACGAATCCTAGTCTCCTTGAAGGGCCCCACGAAGCCATGATCACTCGCAAAGAACTCACCCGCAGAGGACATGCCAAACGTCAAGAGAAAGAGTTGAGGTGGGCCGAGATACCTGAGTTCGCTCGGGAAAAGTTCAAAGCAGCCGAGAAGGTTCAGTGGGACGAGCATCTGTCTTTTGATGCGCTGGAACCCTTGGACACGAAGGCCACGCAGCAGGTGCTCGACTCCGTAGACCACAGCCGCATTTTGCGGTGCAGATGGGCCTACAAGGACAAGAACTGGGCCGCGCGTCAGTGCGGCGAAAACCCGGAGTGGAAGTGTAAGAGTCGACTTGTCATCGGAGGGCACCTTGACCCAGATCTTGGAGTGGAGGACCTCACCACAGACGCCCCTACAATCTCGAGGCCCGGATTTATGTGCATGATGCAGTTGCTCGCAAACGGATTGGCCTGCAGCGAGAAGTGGAGCGTTGCAGCGGGAGACATCAGATGTGCCTTCCTCACCGGCGGGTATTTGAGCAGGGATGAACCCCTATATCTACATCAGCCCACAACCGGCTTCCCGGGGATGTTGCCGGGCCAGATCGTGCGCATAAAGAAGAACATATTCGGCCTTGCTACCTCCCCACACGAATGGTGGCAAGATTTACAAGGCGGGATGAAGTTTGCGGAGCTCCACATCGAGGGCGCCACCTACAAGTTCGACCAGTGCCCTTTGGACCCTTGTGTTTTCATGCTGAGACGTTGGCAAGAAGGGAAGTTCTCCGGGAAACCAATAGCGTACGTCGGCAGCCACGTGGACGATCTTCTCGTCATCGGGCCCAAGAAGGTGAACAAGGAGATCCAACGCGTCCTATCTGAAGTCTTCCCAGTAGACGAGTGGATTGAAGATCTTCTCACGTACCTTGGTTCGGAGATCTGTTGCGAGGAGGACCGCGTCAAGGTGACCCAGAAGCGCTACACGGAGAACCGCCTGTTCACAGTCGACCTGCAGAAGGGGATCCCCGACGACGCGCCTGCGGATGCAGAAGTACTCGCAGACAACAGGAGCTTGATCGGGGCACTGTCGTGGTTGTCAGCACAGACCAGGCCAGACTTGACGTGCAGCGTGAGTCTCGCGCAACAAACCCAAAAGGGTCCCTCTTTCGGCGACGTGAAGTTCACCAACGGCATAGCTGGGAAAGCCATGAAACACAAAGAGCGCGGATTGTGCTTCAAACCCGTCCCATACGCCAACATGATGATTCTGGTCTACCACGACGCGGCATGGGCCAACGCCTTCGAGGGAGACTACGACGAGCCGGGGTTCGAGTTGACCGAGGAGGACAAGGCAAACGGGCTGCAGCACGAAGGGCCCGCTTCGCTGGCATCGAGGAAGGCAAAGAAAGCCAATTCGCGAGTGGCCTCACAGCTAGGGAATCTGGTGCTCTTCGCGGAGAAGGACTGCGTGCAGGGCAAGCCTGGCAACGTGAGCATCGCGGACTGGAGATCTCAAGCTGGACAACGAGTTTGCCGGAGCACTTTCGGCGCAGAGACGCAGGCCAGCGTGGAGGGCATTGAGAACGGGCAGTACATGAGGTCCTTTATCGAGACTCTCGTCAACGGCACGCTCGTGAAGGTCGAACAATGTACTCGGCACTTGCTGTGTCTGAGTGACTGCAGGTCGTTGTACGACCACATCCACAAGGAGGGCATCCCGCGTACCCCGAGTGACCGTCGATTGGCCATAGACTTGGCCGCCCTGCGGCAAACGTTGAGAGCAGAGAGGTGGGGGAGCAAGCTCCCACTAGGATGGGTGCCGAGCGTCTACCAGCTTGGTGACATCTTGACCAAGCCCCAAGATGCAGACGGGTGGTGGGAGAAGATCGACGGCAAGCTCAGCATCAGCGTGAGAGGGGTGGTAGCCAATGTAAAAGGAGAAGAAGATAAGACCAGTGTGAAGCACTGAGTGAAACATGTGGGTGAAACAGCCCTTGTAAAGAGAAGGGCATCGATGTCACAGGGGTGGAAGAGGCGCCTACAAGTGATCGCGCGGTGCCGCGGCGAAGGCTCGAGGATTCTGTTGCTTTTCGATGAAAAGGCGCGTGTGGAAACCGGCCTTCATCCTTCTTGTCTTACACTAAACCCTAAACCCTAAACCCTAAACCCTAAACCCTAAACCCTAAACCCTAAACCCTAACCCTAAACCCTAAACCCTAAACCCTAAACCCTAATCCCTAAACCCTAAACCCTAAACCCTAAGCCCTAAACCCTAAACCCTAAACCCTTTCTTTAGGGTCTAGGGTTTTTGGGGTTTAGGGTTTAGGGGCTTCGTGGGCTGCTTTGTGCTTCTGTGATCCTGTACTACACCCACCTGGGATTTCAACTAAAATCTCACCCTGTGCCTTACCTTGTGGTAAAGGCGGCAGTTCGGGTGCGGGTTGAACAGGGCCCACAACTTCAAAACCCCCAACCCGCAACCCTAACAATCTACACCCTGGACCCTAAGACCCGGCGAAGGTTTTCCTAACTCCCTAAGACCTACACCAAAAATCCTAAATCTAACCCCCAAACCCTAAACCCTAAACCCTAAAACCTAACCCTGAACCCCAAACCCTAAACCCTAACCTGAAAGCCCATCATGTGAGGCACCGCAGCTGATGTTACTTGGGGGCCAAAGTCTGACATGTGAACCCTTTGTTCAGAGGCGGTTTAGGGTTTAGGATTTAGGGTTTAGGGCTTAGGGTTTAGGGCTAGTTAGCCTACACCCGTCCCCAAAGACGCTTCGCCAAGAAGCAGCACGAGGTCGGCAGAGTGAATGGCTGCTGCCTGCGAGGTTCAGGACTTGAGGGGTTAGGATTTAAAGGGTTTAGGGTTGGGGTTTAGGGTTTAGGATTTAAAGGGTCTAGGACTTAGGGTTTAGGGTTTAGGCTTTAGGGTTTAGGATTTAGGCTTCAGGGTTTAGGCTTAGGACTTAAAGGGTTTAGGACTTAGGGTTTAGGGTTCAGGGTTTGTTTGAAGCTTTCAGGACGAGGCGCAGAAAGCTTCCTACATCTTGGGCGGAAGAAGAGTCCAAATGTGCTCGATCTCCAGCCGTGCACGCGTACACCACGAGGAGAAGAGGCTAGGAAACTAAAAATCGGGCCTTGCTCAGGGGTTTTAGGGTTTTAGGGTTTTAGGGTTTTAGGGTTTTAGGGTTTTAGGGTTTTAGGGTTTTAGGGTTTAGGGGTTGAGGGGTTGAGGGTTTTAGGGTTTTAGGGTTTTTGAGCTTAGGGTATCTGCCACGTGTATGCTGCGAAGGTTTGGCCAAAACGCAAGATCCAAGACCTAAATCCTACATCCTCAACCCTCATAAACCCTTAAACCGTGAACTCCCCTAAACCCTAAACCCTAAACCCTGAAACCCAACATTCTCGCCAACCCACTTCGGCCTCAGCCGGTGCCACACGAACACGAGGAGGACTATCGTCCTGGGCACGCAGGCTTTCATTCAATGTCCACAGTTTGGGGGGTAGGGGGGGGGGGGGGGGGGGGGGGGGGGGGGTTCATTGGGGGGGTGCGGTAGAGGGTACGGGTTGCAGGGGGGGGGGGGGTGATTCAGGGCGACAGCCACAAGCAAACCAGCCATGGGTCCCTGAAGGTCAAGCAGCACATGAGGTGCACATCTCCACAAGTAACCTACTAATGTTGACCTCGTAATAATAAACCCCCCCCCCCCCCCTCAATCAAACCCCCCCAAATAGAGTAGGGCCCCTTTGAATAAGGATTCCTTTCCTTAGAGCCCCCCTTCAATCAAACTCCCCCAAAAAAAACCAGCCCCGACTTGGCGTACTTTATTCCCAGGGCTTGATTATTGCGGCCGGGACCCCTGGCGCACTTTAATATCAGGGGGTTCAATAATACGAGGTTAACATTATGTTTTGGTCCGTTGGCCCTCTTGCCACGCCTCCTCTTGCAGGTTCTGGTAGCCAGAGCTTGACGAGCCTATCCTGCGAGGGCTTACCCGGAACCCAACACCCGAAACCTAAACTACTATTTGCCCAAGAACCCCCAACAAGTATTAAACAAAATCCCGATATTGCCGTTATATAAGGAAGAATCGTAGTAAACTAGGATGGCCCTTACTCTGAAAAATACTCCCAAATAATATGATTCTCTCAAACCCGATGGGGGAAAATGTGAAATGTCCCAAGGGCCTACCTAGTAAACTTTGGGGTTTAGGTTTTAATTAGCGCCTTGAAGGTTTGGGCTTCCTTGCTCAAATGGAGCTTATGAGCTTTTTGCCCTCTGAGCACTCAACATCTCCACCCTCAAGACGCAAACATCTCCACGCTCCAAAACCCAGGTAAGCCAAGCGGAACCTTTGGGACAGGAGAGACATGTTGAGGGTTTAGGGTTGAGGGTTTAGGGTTTAGGGTTGAGGGTTTAGGGTTTAGGGTTGAGGGTTTAGGGTTTAGGCGGTTTAGGGTTGACGGTTTAAGGTTTCCTGTTGCTGTGTGATTTCCCTCTAGTCTTGGAGCAGTAGGATCCTTGGCTGTGCCGAGCGAAAAATGGCGCACGGGCTCAACAGCTCGGAAGGACCTTCCCTGAACAAAAAAGCGCAGCCACGATTCGTTCAAGAACCCAACGCCACAGTCTTTCATTACAGAACCTAAACCTACACTCCTGCAGTAAACTTTGCGAGCACACCAACCTTCACACCTTTAACACAAAGCCAGCAAACCACCAACAAATCATCCCACTCCGAAAATCGTAGCAGCCCGAAGACTTGCCCTGAACACTCAACACCAAGCCCTTCCAAAACACCCTAAAGCCAGCAACCCTACACCCTAAACCCTAAACCCTAAACCCTAAACCCTAAACCCTAAACCCACAGGGCTTAAAGAGTAAGTGGGAGGATCCTCGACCCAGAGATCTCGCCCCAGCCGGCGACGACCTGTTGCAGAGCCTGCCAAGCAAAACCCCAGGGAACCAAAAAGGGTTTAGGGTTTAGGGTTTAGGGTTTAGTGTTTGGGAGTGCACAAGGCGAAAAAACGACGAGACATGTGCAAACATATACAGGTTCTTTGTTTGTGGTAGAATTTGCTGTGTATCTGTATATATGTTTAGATATTTGCACATAAGAGTCATAACAAAGGTGGAAAAGGTAGAAAGATGTAGAAAGATGAATCAGAACCTTCGGCTCAGAGTTGCATTTGCAAGGCCTGAGTCTTCCATAAACCCTAAACTCTGAACCCGGTTTGAGGGTTTAGGTTTTAGGGGTTCTAGGGGTTCTAGGGGCTAGGGTTTGAGGGTTCGAGGGTTTAGTTTAGGCTAGGGGCTTGAGGGTGCTCCGGAATTTTTGCTGGAGACCACTGATATCACAGCTCGTGGTGTGCATCGCCCGGGCTAGTGGATGTCCGGCTTCAGTGGATAGGCATCAGCGTGCATAGATTAAGACCCGCAGTTCGAGTTTACGGTTGAGAGGGTTCGGGCCAGCTTAGGGTTTTCTCCTTGTTCAGCAGCATGGAGCCGCTGAGTTTATTCGCCAGCCTTGCAAGTTGAACTGGGCACAGCCAATGTATTTGTAGCACCCTGGTATTTGGGGATGGCTGTCGCGCGTCGCCCACGCCCTCGCGGACGTGACTCTATACTTGTCACTACAAACACGCGGCGTTCAACTCTGGAAGCCCTGAACTCTAAGTTTAGGGTTTAGGGTTTAGGGTTTAGGGTTTAGGGTTTAGGGTTTAGGGTTTAGGGTTTAGGGTTTATAAGGGTTTAGGGTTTAGGGTTTAGGGTTTATAAGGGTTTAGGGTTTAGGGTTTAGGGTTTAGGGTTTAGGGTTTAGGGTTTAGGGAACTTCCTCGGGGCACCTGGTCGTGGGTCTCCTCCGTACATCGCGGGGCGAAGGCGGTGCTCAGGGTGAGGAGCGCCGCGACCAGAGACAGGATCACGGGGAAGAACCTTGAAGGGTTTAGGGTTTAGGGTTTAGGGTTTAGGGTTTAGGGTTTAGGGTTTAGGGCTTCGAGTCTCGAGCAAATTTGAAGGAAACGTTTGGGGCTTGTAGGGTCTTGAAAAACCTAAAGACAAGTTTGGGCCTTATGGTCTTCAGGCGTATGTGTATCTCCGAGACCCTATAGACCCCCAAACCCCAAACCCCAAACCCGAAACCCTCAACCCTAACACCCCAAACCCTAAACCCTAAAACCCTAACACCTCAAATCCAAAACCCTAAAACCCTAAACCCTAAACCCTAAACCCTAAAACCCTAAACCCTAAACCCCACACCCTAAACCCTAAACCCTAAACCCCAGACTCCCCATGTCAGGTTGGGAGCTCCAGGGATCCTGGAGCCCCTGGTGAGGTTTAGGAGGGCCTGGAGTTTAGGGTTTAGGGGTAGGGTTTAGGGTTTAGGGTTTAGGGTTTAGGGTTTAGGGTTTAGGGTTTAGGGTTTAGGGTTCAGGGTTTAGGGTTTGGGGTTTAGGGTATGTTGCAGCAAGATAAGAATCTGAGACAGCTTGCCCAATGTGCAAGCGCAAGCTGCTGCTGTGAACAGAGTGCAATGTCAGAAAGACAACGAAAGCAGAGCTTCGGACCAAAAAACAGGTTGGTAGGGTTTAGGGTTTAGGGTTTAGGGTTTAGGGTTTAGGGTTTAGGGTTTAGGGTTTAGGGTTTAGGGTTTAGGGTTTAGGGTTTAGGGTTTAGGGTTTAGGGTTTAGGGTTTAGGGTTTAGGGTTTAGTTTAGGTTTTAGGGTTTAGGGTTTAGGGTTTAGGGTTTAGGGTTGATGATACTCGCAAAGTGCAGCTAAGCATAATGCCAGAAACCTTGCTAAGAATCAGAGTGCTGAAGGAGGACTTTTCCCATCTCCGCGGTGCCGACCCCTTGAGGGCAGCCATCGTGTAGAATCAGATTCATATCGGCAAGGCGCGTCTCAACGTATTCACATTGAGACACGCCATTCCGACAAGCAGCTGATCCTAAGATCGCTT